ACTTGGCTGACATTGAAGACCAATACATATTAGGGTACGACTACTTACTACCGAGGAAGTGTGTAATTAATTTGATAAAAATGACGTTTGGGAACAACAAAGGCCAATTTCCGGTAAATGTTAAAAGAGAGGTTGGACTAACCAGGTGTCATCAAGCTGAACTCAAAGTGACTGAAGGAGTTGATGATGGTGAAATGGAACCAGGTATAGATATTAAATCAGAACAGGAGAAAGATCAAGATTTGAAGCCAATAATTGATTTTTTTTAAAAGCAAGTGTATTGCGCCCTGCTTGGGAGAAATTATCTAGTCTAATCCCTGTGACAAAGAACTATTGGGCACAATAAGACCAGTTGAAGCTTGAAGATGGTATTCTTCTCCTGAGATGGGAACTGCAGATGGGAAACGGTTATGCCGAGAAAGTTATGGGAAGTTGTGCTGCATCAATCCCATGATAGTTTAACAGGAGGACATCTCAGAGTTAAGAAAACATTGAGTCACCTACAGCAGAGATTTTACTGGAGAGTTATGAGGCAAAATGTGGAAGAATGGTGCAGAACATGCAGTACATGTCATGCTAAAAGGGGACCCAAGCATAAGGAACGTGCTCCAATGAAGTTATATCGTGTTGGCACACCAATGGAAAGAGTAGCATTGACATTGCTGGTCCTCTGCTCCAAACTCGTGCTGGAAACAGGTACATTTGTGTGGTGATGGATTATTTCACCAAGTGGCCTGAGGCATATGTAATACCAAATCAGGACTCTCCCCTTTAGCACTTCTCTAGTGCTAAACATAGCCCTGTAGACTTCAGACTGATTTTGGGTTACATACCTGAGCTCTAGAGCAGCTACCAGTGTTCTATAGTTGTGTCTGTCGTCTGCTGACAACTGTCCAAGTATTTCCAGTGGTTGTCCCTTCAAGCTCGTTGCCAGATATACTGCTTTCTGCTCCTCTGTCCATCCATTCATCTCTGCCAGGAGCTCACATTGTGCTTTATATGCTTACCATCGAATTCCTGTGGCTTTCTTCTTACTAGATCACCCCTACTTGCTGACATTCATATCTGAGATGTGACTTCTAACGGGACGTGAATGTGTCTGCATTACGGTTTAAC